ATATTAAATGATCGATTTGAATTAATTCTTGATAAATAGGTTCTTCTTTATCTTGTGGTTCAATTAATACACTACTTATATCATTAACATACTTAAAATCTTGCAATGATGGATGACGACTTATAACAACTTGCATCGATTCTGTTAAAATACGATTTGCTATAAAACAAAAAAAACAAACAATATTTTAATTGCAGTTATTCTGAACCAGAGATATTTGTAGTGATATTTTCATACCCTATCCTATTTCATTGAATCAAACAGGATAGAACAGGATATGTAGCAAAAACGATACTCTATCTTGATTGTATTTTTCAATCGAATTCAAAAGTACATTATCAAGGCGTCGATGCGTTTGTTGAATCGCTATTTTTTCAAGATGAAATCTTTGATCTTTTTTTTGTCGAATTTACTCAGGAATATAAGAATTCAAAGAAAGTCGAGTCATCAACAAGACAAGGTATAGATAAATTTAATGTGCATCATTAAAATCAGCAAGCACACAGTAAGTGAGTGTCATCATACCAGAACCAAATCATATAGAACTCTTAAGTTAATTTTTTGCGTTAAAAGAATGAGAATAACAAATACAAATATAATTTTTCAATGGTCATTTTATTTATATATTTATTTTTTCTATCATTTTCATTCGAATTTATATCTACTCTGAATGTCATTTGATATGGCTGCCTATCAGACATGTGCGATCCACAGATTTCGTCCAGCAGGGCCACGTCGCGGCGAGCGGATGGGGCATAAAAATCTTTAAAATATTTCGGGCGATCGGACATGGGTATCGTTCGACACACGGGCGATCCGAGGCGGGTGAGAAAAACAAAAAAAGAGCGGGTTCGGACGGGCGAGGATTATTGTGCACGAGTTCGGGCAGGTAAAGAATTTTTTTGGAAACCGACGGAGATCGTCAGAAAGTACCGATAGATGTCATTATTCTACATTTTGAGTATGAAGTATGTATTGATAGTTACTTATTTTCACCCTACTAACTACAAGCTCACTTGCTCTTCGTTTCTTCACTCTGTTTTTATCTTATCTCAAACTAAACTTTGATTATCGAAGTTCGATTATTCATTTGTATTAAAGAGCGAAAAAATAAAATAAAATTTATTTGATTTTAGAATGAATATTTAGAATTTATTCTCTTTTACCAATAACAATGATCAAATTACATGATTTCATTGACAGATTTAGGGGAGGAAGTCGATTACTTTCATTCTGAAAAAAATTCTTTTTTTTCTAGCAGAAGAGTCTAAAAATTGAATTTAAAAACACGTTGTACGATCAGAATTCCTCCCTATTCCAACAGAATCGTTCCATAAAAAAAAGTCCAAAATTCCCCATTGCATGATTTATCAACTGATGTAGCATAAACTACTGAAAATAGGCTAAATTGCGAATAAAAACGTTTTTCGGGTGTCACGGGGCGCGGGGCGGAGCCCGTCAAAAAATCGACGGGCGGGTAGGGTAAAACAGAAAGACTTTTACACGGGGATAGACGAGACGGGTTTGCAAGCGCTACGGGGCATTAAAATTCGATGTGCCGCCCATCTCTGCTGCCTATTCTGTATTTTCAATTTTTAACACTCAATAAAAGCGTTCTTTTTTTCAGGATGAAAACTTAATGTTCGAGTTTGAAAGACTTGATTCTGATCTGTGAACACTTCTGTTTCAAACTTACGATTAGTAAAAATTAAAAGATCACTAAGTTCAGTATCATCAAGACTTGGTTCTGAATTAGTAGTAATAGATCTTTTGTTATTTGAACAACGCATTAACGGAATATCATTATCATCATCGTCTAGTGTAATCATTGTTGGTGAATCAAAATATCGTTGTTGATATTGATTGACAATAACTGTTGTTGGTTGTTGTTTGATCTTATATTTTGTAAATGTACGAAATCGATTATGGTCTAATGTTGTTGATAATTGACTGGTATTTTCCATAATAGGATTCGATTGATCTTGTTCAAAATTATATTTATTTGATAATATTGTAAATGTTTTATTCATTAAACGTTGTTTGTTTGATAGATGCATAATATTTTTTGAAGACGAAGAAAAGAAAACTAATCTTATATATTGAACACATGTGATCATAAAATGCTAATGAGAATATAGATTTGTCTAACAATAGACAGACAGACGAGAAAGTATTTTGAAATGATCTTTCTCTTTTAGAAACAGAAGAAAAAACGTTTTCTTTTTCAATAAATCTTTTTAATTATGCCATCTATCGATATTGTTCGTTCTGATTAGTCAGATTAAGATCGACTAGTTACATTTTTATTACGTTTACTATTTAAAGAAAAGAAAAGAAAATAATAATAATAATAAAATGTATCGAGTAAAATATTTATTAAGTTTATCGGTTCGTTTTCATTCAACATTAGCATCAAAATTTAATCCATGGCATGATTATCGTGCCTATTTGGATCAAGTTAAAACATATATAAATCGTTTAAATCCATATATTGAACTCGATCTTCGTTCAGCTGCACTCAATTGGGATTATATATTAAATAATGAAAACACACAAGCAATAGCAGATAATATAAAAAAACGAAAAGAAAATGAATTTGTGGATATTGAACATATTGTATGTAAAAAGGACAAAAAAATGTTTTTTTTTTATTTTTTCGAAAAAAATATTCTTCGAAATAGCTTACACTTCATCGTGATATACAAAATTTATTTCATCGTATTGAAGAAAAAAAACTTGATTCAATACAAGGCGAAGTAAATCATTTTTTTTGTTTGAAATTTTCTTGTATTTATTTTATTTATTCTTCATATAAAATGTAAAAATTTAAGGATCAAATTAAACTTAAAATTCAAGATTTATATAATTATGCATTAAAAATACCGAATAAAACACATCCGGATGTCGTAGGTAGTCTTATTTTTATTTTAATTATCATACATAATGTTGTTTTTTTCTTTTTTGTATATCTAGCCAATTGGTGATCAAGAACAAGCACGTACAGTTCGTGTTCAAGGAAAAAAACCAGGTAAAAGAATTTGATAGAATTTCAAAATCATATATATTTTTGTTTTCAGAAACAAATATTTCTCGACAAACAATTGATCAAATTGGTCAAGAATTAAGTTTAATGCAATTAGAGTAAATATTATTTTTTATTGAAAACAAATCTAATCGAAAGAAATTATAATTTCGCTTGTTCTTTTTTTTTTTTTCTAATAAAGAAATATGGGTCATGTATCATTTCGTGGAGCTTATGCATTATTTGGTGATTTTGCTCGTTTAGAAAGAGCTTTAATGTATTATGCATTTGAAAAACTTACGCAAAATGTAAGAAATTCTTTGCTCTCTTTGACATTATTAATTCTTATTTTAGGGTTTTAAAATGGTTTCTGTTCCTGATATTATTCATCGAGGCATCATTGTAATAGATATATTTTTATTATGAAAATAAAAATATTTATTTTTTGTTTTGTATTTTCTTAGGAATCATGTGGATTTTCAACTCGAGGTAAACGATCACAAGTTTATCAATTAGATTATGGTGAAGAATTTGGTCGATATTGTCTTGCTGGTACAGCTGAAATGCCATTAGCTGGTCTACTCAAACATAATACATTTCGTAAAGATGAATTACCACTTAAGTAAATATGATATATTCGAATATGGAGGATTTCAAAAAGTTTCCCTGTGAATATCTAAAACTAGCTGTTGTATCAGCTCAAAACATTCAAACGAGACTTTCTCCACAAGCATGATGAACGACATCGATTTTTTTCGTGTGTAATTTTTGAAGGTAGTTGTAGGGAACTGCAAAGTGGTCCCGGTCCCGGTCCCGGTCTCGGGACCAAAATTTGACTTTTTTGCGGGACCGGGACCGGGACTAAAAATTTTTCATACTGGTCCCGGTCAGTTTTTTATGCAATGTGTCGCCATTTATTTTATTTTTTTGAGAATACT